ATGGTGTCCCTTCTCACAGCAGCAAGGCAAGCATGTCTTTAAGAGAAAAATACAAGAAATGCAGTCTATTCAGCTGCTGCCCTTTCACTCAATGAGTCAATATTTTTGCTGTCCAGTTTTCCAGAGCAAAGGGGAGCAGAGACCATGTGCACAAATATCTGTGCATGCAAAAAGTGAGCCTGAAGTGTTCTATACAACAGCATTGGAGGTGATTACTAATGGACAGAAGGGAGGGAAGATAAGGTGCCATGCATTCTAACTACACCCAAAACCCCTGCAGGTGGGTGTCCTGGGGAAAAAGGACTGAAACTAATTTGAATAAATATGATTTTTGACAAATCTGCAGATGCTACCGTGTTGACCTTTATTTCAATAAAATTCAACTTGTTTCACAGCATCATATTGAGGCATTTCATTAATTTTCTTTAATGTGTAATTGTAATATAATCCATGCATTTGGTGTTAGCAGAGTAAAAGTCAGCTTTATTTTCTGCATCTCTAATCATCAGGTTAAAATGAATAACTCAGTTCTATTGTGCAATCCTTTTGATAGGAAGGATCTTTATTATGAGATACAAATGTCATATGTAATGCACTTCAGTATAAGCCTAATATATATGGTTATCACTGTGGTTTTAACAAGTGCTAAACAATGATGCAGAAAAATGACGCCAAATGGAGGTGCCAAAATCTGCAGTTCCTGAAGCAGCCACTTGGGATCGATTCCAAAAATAAAATCAATAAATTAGTCAGTAAAATCAATTCCTGTAGATTTCCATGTTGAAATCTCCAGTTTTCCATTCTCTTAGGCGTCACCTCAGTTAGAACTCGAGTTAACAAATAATTAAAGCATTTCATTCATTCACTCTCTCACCTGCACCTTTGACACAGATGTGACACATCAGAAAATATGTCATTGTTTTGGTAATCGTTATAGAAACGAGTTTGTTTGACAGGCTCTGACGAGCATCCTGCTGTAAACGCTCTCTCGACCTCTCCATTCATTTATTTCCTGAGCAAGCATGCCTCAGACGACCGTACAGCAACTAAGTCTTTTAAAAATGTTTTTCCCTTTTTCTGGCAGAGACGTCACTGTCTCCCAGCGGCTGTCAGGTGAGTGACAGTAAGCAGGGCATATCGTAACGACCCGCACCGCTCAACTCTGCCAAAATTACTGTAAATAAAGATAAAACAGAAAGTCTGACAAACCCAAATTAAGTTGTCACGCTTGCTGTGATGAATTATCCCACACTGTGGAGGTTGTTTCTCATACTGTACAACCAGAAAAGTCAGTGGAGGGTTTTTCTTTTTTGTTTTGTTTTGTTTTTCGCTGAAGGGAGAAAAACACGCCTGATATGTGCAGCAAACACTAGCAGGGATGAGGAAAAAGAAAGAGGTATCTTAAGACTGGCTCACTCCTCCGATGAATTTAAATGGTCATCAGCATACAATTGCACAAACTAATTTGTTTACTTCTCATTTGTGACTTTTTTTGAGCTGCATTATTTATCTTTTGTTCTGTTTTTGTGCGATGCTTAGTTTGCTTGTTTGTTTTCTTTCTGTTTTATTTTTCATCAGGATAAACAAAGTTTCATTTCATGTTGTTTTATTGAAACTTTGTCACCTTCCTGGTTGCATGCCTGTTTCTGTTTTCAAATATTTATTTCTTTGAACATCAACAATAAATTCCTGTCAGAGTAAGCCTCCTTTTAGTTTTATAGTTTTTCTTACATGATCACTCTGCGGTTGTGGAACAACTGTTGGGGCACGGCAGCTCTTATTATTACACTCCTTACTCTTGGTTGCTTGTAATATTGGGTATTGGTTTTCTGCAGTTATTGCATTGTCGCTGTGGGTGAAAGAGTTGCTAAATGACTGAAATGTCACTGTAGATTAGTGACTATGGTGTTGCATTTTTACTCAGCAACTAAAGATCTGCAGGAACAGTTTGTCAGTATTTAGGAATGTGATTTAAAGGAACAGCTCACTCCAAATTTAGCTAATTTCTTTCTCTGAACTTTGGTGCTTTTTATATATTTACATTGTTTCGTGTGACACGGGAATTAAAAACAATGTGACAACTAGATTATATCTCAAATGCCTCCAACTGTCTTTTCTGCTCCATCTGTGTGAGATCCAGCTCTGCAATGACAACTGTGACTCACAAGCAGCCACAGGAGACACAATGGAGCCCTTTAGTGGCACCATCATGCAGGGATGAGCTGAAGTGTTTATGAGGGATTTAGAGTGTAACTGCTTTAAGACAAACAGGAAATAATAAATGATCTGAACATGATAGCTTTTTTAGCAACAACTTCTTCAGCTTCTCAGATTGATTTGCACAGTGGTTAGCGTTGTTGCCTCACAGGAAGAAGGTCCTGTGTTTGAATCCACCAATTTCTGTGTTATTCACAGTAAGGTGTAAACATGGCAAACATGGTTATTTTGTTGGCTGCAATCTATTTTTGTGTGTTATGGAACTTCTATGCAACACATTGTCAATAAAATCTGCACTGTTAGGAATCAAAACTGGTAATACTGTAGTTTAAAGTCCACACTTTCAACACGAGTGCAGCCAGGGGCGTAATTTCCAGGGGGGTTATTAGGGGTGGGGGAAAAATGGATACTGTGTAGTAT